TATAGGGGGTAATTGACGTCATTTAATATAAAGACCATATTAACTGTTCAAAAAAAAATTTTTAGCCGATCAAAATCTCATGTTTTTTACCCCCGTTTAGGTCATTTTATTAGTGTTATGTTAAACATAGAATCAAATTGGAATGGCGTGTTAGATGAGGATTTACAATAAATTCTATATATACCACAAAAATTATGACTTTTTGTTAAGGCAAGAAAGGCTATTTCATAGGCAAAAATTTTGCGATAAAAATTTTTTCTTATGTCGATCGTGATTGACAAAACCTGTCACAGAATTCTTGCATGCTAAACAATACGTTATAAGACGATGTGGAAGCGTTAGTTCATCCGTTATATTTACTCCCGTTTTATAGAAATTTAAGCTATTCGAGAAAAAAAGAAATATTGATCATATTTGGGGGTTGCCAATGAAAATTCTCACTGGAAGAATTTTTCTACTGGTACATATATAATATCAACATAAAATGCGCGAAGATTAACTAATCAAAATACACATATTGCACATGACTTTAATAAGAATCTCTCGTCAACCAATTTTTACGTATGAATTAAAGACTTTCGTTATACACAGATCTGCATGACTCAAATAGAGCAATAATTAGTAGCGAATTAATAAAATTGATAAATAATAATTTTTTTTTATATTAATTTCTTACGTAAAATTTCTTTTTAAATGCTTAGCATTTTTATGAAATAATTGTCTCTTCAAATTTTGAATTATACGATTTTAGGTTGCCTTCATGCATCGCTTTTAAGCATCATTTATATTTCATTATAGAATAATTGATAAAAAAAGTTTTTCAAATTCAAAATTTTTTACCATGATAGCTCAAGTAATTAACGGCAGAAGTAGAGATACAAACCCGAATATTAATTCTGCTGGAAGCTAAAGTTATAAAAGTCACTGGAATCACTGGAAGCCACAGGAAATTACTGGAACTTCCTTCCAGTGAACTAAAATTTCTTACTGAAAAGGTCTAGTGACAACTCACCATTGGAAGATATAATTCACTAATTTCTTCCTGTGAGTTCCAGTGATCTTCCAGTTTCAGTAATTTTCACTGAAATGTTCCAGTGATCATCACTGCTAAGTATTATATGCATCGTAACAAGGAGATATAGTCAAGCATATTCCTTTCTATATTGATATAGCGTACACTCTATACGAATGTTGTGAAAAATGTGACTTCTGGCTTACAATTAGTCATTTTTTATTATGCCGTTAATAAAATTTTTTATAAATACAGTAATTTAAACTTAAAGATCCAAAATTTCATTTCTTGGCAATGCTATATTATATAAGTATCCTGAATAATAAAATAAAAATATACGGATCCAACTTTTATTTACTACATACATGCCAATATATAAGATTGCTATACTTGCCACACAAACCAAAATTTTTAAAATCCTACCCAAATCCTAAACCTAATAAAATCGTCCAAAGCCTAATCTCGAACGTAACAAAATCGACCCAAATAATGTTCCAAACTCTAGAGATTTTTGCCAAAAAGTATAGTCAACACATAATAATCTTAAAAAAAAAATTCCAATATTATTGAATATAAAAAATATTTACCTCCTGCTTAGCTACATCTTATAAACTGCTTCTTTTTAAGGATTTTAAGGAGTAGATATATAGAGGTGTCTAAATTATTCCTCTTGATAAAAAATTGTTTCGACATTTAGTTTGTCGAACTTAATTTTTCTTAGTGGCGAAATTAAGTTCATAGTTGTCGAAATTTTTAGTAAATTGTTTAAATTCTTGATGCAAAAATTCATTAGATAGCATAGTTATTTTGTAGAATTTATATAAAAAACTAGCATCGAATAATATTTTTTTGTTGCGAGAGAAAACGTAATAGTTGACTTTGCAAAAAATCTTAAGAAAGTGTATCGAAATGTTTTTCGAAATTACTTTGTTTAAAAATAATTTAGATATCCATGTATAGGAGTAGATTATAAAAAATCCGCCATATCAAAGAAGGTATTACTTTTTGGTCTATTTTATCCACTGCTGTAAACCTTCCAGATTCATCAGCACTTAAGACGATCATTACTATTCTTTTTTAGTATCCAATCTTCGTGAAACCATAATGCACCTTTTTATTGAAGCTCATACTTTTTCTTATAACAGTTGCGAGGCTGGTGGATCCTCTTCTAGAATACTATCATTGAAGATGTGCCTGGAAGTCGAGGTGTAATTTCTGATTCTTTTGGCTCTGTTTTTCTTTTTTCTGTTTGCCAATAATTAACTTTCTCTAGAATATTACTTTAATAATAATTAAGTTTATCTCCGAGATTTGTTAACAAATTAGCATGAATTCACTGTTATCTTTGCATAGACAAGGTCAAAATATGAAAATAGTAGTGAAAATAAAGAAATAAAAAAATCCTTTATATAACTTATTTTATTGACACGTTTTATTGTTTTGATTTTGTAAAAATGATTACCCTAAAAACGCGATACTAAATTGGGGAAAACGTAATCATGCATACTACAAAAATTTTCGAATGACCATGCCAATCAAATTGCACATGGCATTATTAATTTCCGATTATAGTCCTCAGTTTGGCACGCTAATCTATGTTCGTTTCTCTGTTTGTCTAAACGTTGAGAAACGAACAACGAACTATTTGATTTTAAATTACAGAATCTGTTTGCATTTTGAAATTCGAGGCAATTGTTATATAAAAGAAAGATAATCATGAACTCTTCAGTGGAAACTTTGTATAACAAACAGAAAGGCTAAGAATTCAAGACACGAAAAGCAACTTTATTCAAGGTGCATGATTTGAACGAGATTTGTCATAAACAAGGATGTTTTAAAGGGAGCACAATACAAAACTTTAATAAAATAGATTTTTAAAACTTTATAGGTAGGCACAAAGGAAATTCTCTTCGAGTTATTGTTAAACCGGATTAGAGATGTATTTCTACTAACTTCATTTACAAAAACTTTTGTCACGTTCCATCTCATCTATTTTATCAATTTCAAGAAATAGTTGATGAATTTCATTGTAATTTGGGCTTGAGGCTGTGAAAATAGAAGAATCATTGCTACCTTTTTCTTCTTTTTCATTTGATTTCTCATATTAAAAATTATACTCTTTCATTCTTTTTCGTATGAATGCGAAAGCCGAAAGAATTTTCACATTTTCTTGCACAGCCTTTGATGCAACCTCCGCCCATTTTTGGCGTTATTACTTACTTCGTGTTCGGAACTCACGCGACTATGAATTCAATTACTTTACTTTTTTGGTTAGTACTTCCGGATCAAGGACAAGTTACATTCCATGTGATCACATCTTTTTTTTTTTTTAGTAAATTTCTTGTATTAAATATCATGTACGTATGTACGCACGTGCTTATATGTTGCAAAAAGTAATACTTTGTAGCATTTATATCGCGCTGTCCTGTTAAATTTGTGTGATAACATTTAATAACATTAGCAGATAAAAAATTTGTAGATGCACGGGAAAAAGGTTTTCAGCAAATTTTGTAGATCTTGCAGAGTTGTAAAAGTGAGGGAAGGTTATGTACATGATTAAGGTTCTGTAGTAATACATACAGTATTATGCTAATGTGGTTTATTACCGAATCGGGTTAATGAATGAAACACAAAAAAATCGTCTGATAGATTCAGATGTCAGTTGCATCAGAGGCATTTTCATATATATGTATTACGTTTTATAGGTTTAAAATTTACGAGTTCATATATATGTGTAGATCAGTAACATAATTTAGTAGAAATGATGTTATTATGAAATATATTTGACTATTACAGTACTATCGCTAATGAACAATTACTCACGTCATTGCCAATCAGTAAAATGCTCTCACATAAATAGCGATGTGATCTTGATTTTCATGTTTCTCACAGATATCTTTTTGCTTTTTTGTCCACGCTTTGTTCCTTACTCACGGTCGATATCATCCTAAGTGATATTAGTATATATTTTTTATAGTGAAAGGGTTATTATAAAACTACCTTTTTTAATTGGATAAAAATAAAACTGATTGTAAAAATGGGTGTAAGCGTGGAGGCCGGACGACTTATTGTAATTTTAACAAACACTTTAACCACCGTTAGTGTTCATATCTGTTAATAATCAAATCTCGGTATCGTACTTTGTTGTGTCCTGGATTTATCTGTATTGTGCTCTTTAGATTGTAGGTATGATCCTTATCGTGGTGGGTCTTTACGAACTCGCGTCTCCAGACGTAAGCTTGTACTCAACCGCGATTCCTCTCGCAACGATCATCTTTGGCATTTTCATTCTTTTGATTTCTATTACTGGATGCTGTGGTGGAATAGCCGAAAGTAGACCCATCTTATGGGTCGTATCCTTTTTTTTTTTTTTTTTTTTTTTTACCAAATTTTCTGTTATTTTGATCATCACTTTGTTTTTCTTAACCGATAATTTAAATAGTATTTCATTATTCTTTTGATATTGGTTATTTTACAAATCATTGTCGCGATTATTACTTTGATCGATACGCGAAATGCATGTATTCTAATAACGATAATTAATTTTAATCATCATAATCATTATTAATGTGTTAACATTCGTTCCTTTTTTAAGGTTGAAAGATTTCTCGACACCTGGTGGCAAACTGCTTATGACGATAATCCGAGAATAATTCGTGACATCGAAGATAAGGTAGATCAACTATGATCTTTTCTTATTATGTCTAAATAATTATAACTTAAATTATTATTTTTGTCAATAGTATTCGTGCTGTGGATTTAGGAATGTAACAGATCGTGCTGTCCCAAAGAGACGCCCAGACGCTTGCGCTACAAGTTCTTGGTTCGGTTATGATAAACCGTGTTTAGACGTTTTAACTCTATCCTATAAAAATCACCAAACTGCGCTCGGTGTTTGGGGGATTATCTTAGCCATTATTCAGGTTAATTAAACTTTTTTTTTCCTTTTTTTTTTTTTTTTTTTTTTACTTTGCTCATTGTTTACTTAATGTCTTTCAATTCGTTTAATTCAGATCCTAGCATTGATTTCGGCATACATTCTTATTGTGAATTTACCGACTCCTGAACAACGAGATCGTGAATATAGGGCTGAACATGAACGGCTTATTAAGATTGGCCGTGGTGGTGACCCAGAACAATCATCTAAACCTTATTACGCTGACAGAGGCTCTGGTGTGAGTAGTGGTCCGTCAAGTGCAACACATGGTCAATATGGTACTGTTCCATAAAATTTATCGCTATGATAATGTAACATTGGTGAAGATATTTTCGTTTCATTAAGAAGGCAATGCATAAAACTTATCAAATATTGGCAAAAAGAATATTATGTTTTATTTCTTAGGTACCTATTCTTTCATTTGCTTATATCATAAAAAAAATAAAACATTACCAGTTTTCATCGAGATCAAGTGAAAAAATTTACACATTTATTTACATAGCAATCGAATAACAAAATATCTAGATGATTCCTTTAGTTTAAGCTTTAATCAAGGAACTGATAAAGATTTCTTAAAAGGTATATTACCAGAAATCGATGGATAACATTGGCAAATTTTAGTAAATAAATTGTGACTTAATACATGGTAAATATAGTCGACACTAGATATTACGAAACTACTCTATAACGAACTTTTTTAAAAATTGAGTTTGATATAGAAACATAAATTATTCTGTCAGGGACTTCTAAAACGTTTTATTACAAGAAAATGTCAGTTCGTTATAGAGTTGACTGTATATTAAAAAATTCAAATGTCTTTTTGATTCTGTTAACGTTTTGGGTATGTTCTTTAATTACATACTTTTCCGTTTTGAAAATATCTTGTAGTATAGAACATTGAAATATCGTATTACTTGGTCAAAGTGCTTAACCCATCCGTAAAATTTCCACCGAGTTAAATTTGACCAAAAATACTTAAAATATTAATACAAATTAATATAATCATTATTTATCATTATTTCGTAATTTTTTAAAAAACGGGTTAATTGCAGTATTGATACATATATAATTTGAAATTAGTAGGTTTAAAAAAATCAATTCGGTTTAGACATACAGCATACTCTATAGTTTATTTTAAAATCTTCAAAAACCAGTTTTAAATAGGCCTCGGGTAACTTTGTGGATTTAGGTCGTAAATATTTGTTAGTTTATATTCAATTTTATTAATGAATGGTCTTGTTTTCAGTGGAATGATAACAAAATTCTTTCATTTTTAATATTAAATATAAATGTTGATATTTCTTTTTGATAAAAGCAACGAACTGTGGAAAAAATTATCAGAGATCACTTCTTTTTGAGTCGTCCCTTTCGACTAGGTCTCGCATTTTTAGACCTTCGCTTTTCTTTTATTCTTCTTTGCTTGCAAATTTGTTCTACCGTTTTGAGTTCATTCTTGGCCTTGACAGAATTTCGGGAATTTGCTTTTTTCAAATTCTTTGGTTTTTTCCTGTGATTCGTTGCAAGAGGGTCCAAGGGTTCGGAAGAGTTAGTTGTTTTGTGACGAAACTTTTTAATGTCAAAACGTGCTGATTGTATTTCTTCTTCTCCAGTACGAGGTATTAATAACTTATGATGTTGTTGCCACTCTGTGAACCTGTGGGAATAAGTAACGAAATTGAGGACATTGATCTAATAATAAATTCAAAGTCAAAATTTTACTAACCTCCCGCTTTTGTATGTAGCCGGTAACTTTGTTCCATTTTCACTGATAATAAATTTTTTGTTGTCAGACCCTATGCCATCACCACGAACAAAGTTCTTCTTTTTACTATCCCATCTTAAACCTTTCTTTTTATTTGCACCCGGAATCTGTTCATCATTTTGATGACCAAAAAGAGCTCTTTTTGATTCCTCAGCGAAAGATATGCCTTGATTTACTGAATAACTATTGCAGAAAATTATTGTGACGAAATCATTCATTTTTACCTATTCATTTTAAATTAATTGAATAAATTATCCAATTTACAAACCCTTTTTCTGTATTTGCATCTTTTTGATAATGAGGAATATAGTATTCCTCATCTCGAAAGTCATCTCTTTTCTGCCTTTTAGCTAATTAAAGTATTTATAGAGAATGTATCAATATTAATGGTTGGAACCAGAAAAACATTTTCTCCCAAAAAATTACTAACATATTTTAGTAGAATCATCGGTTTTTCGTTTCTTGGTTATGCTAGGTGTTAGAGCCTAAAATATAACACGTAAATAACGCGTAAATGAACAAGAAAGCTTAATCTTAATATACCTTTGTTTCGTCTTCATGACCATTAGGCATATTTTCACAATTTGTTTGCATTTCCTTTGTATTTATTGTCGCCTTCACTGCAGTTTCTTTACGTTGTTTTATTATAGGTGAGGTAAGTGATGACTTTTTTTTCCCTCTAGTTCCTATTTCTAAAATCGTCTAACAAATGAATGTAAATGAATGTTAATAATACAAATAACGCTCTGATGTTACATATAATAAATCAATTTAAAAAGAAATGAAATTAACCCACCTCCGGTGGCCGAAAATTCGAAATTGAGTTTATGAAACTGAGCCGACTTTTTTCTAGATCATTTACTCGATCGGCTTGAAATAATATGTTTGTTAATAATTTTCACATAGAAATATAACACAAATGCATATAGTATACAAACCAAAAAGAACGTGCACGTCATTCAAATTATTCATTTCTATAACTTTTTTTGCTCGTTTATAACTTTCTGGAGCTGCTGATGATCTAGATTTGCAAAATAGCTTATAACCATTTTTCGCCACATCGCAAAGAGATTTCAAGTCATTAACTTCTTGTTGTTTTCCTTTTACCCATTCCATATAAGATCCCAAAAGGTCATTGGGAAAGGATCCGACAATCATATCTGATGTATAATCAGGTGTTGAATCTGTGGCTGAACCAATTAACAATCGACGGCCAAGAAAAAGTTGAAGATCAAGTAAATAGGGAAGCTAAAGTATTGTAAACTCTTCGTTATAAAATCGATTTTAAAATTTTGATTATTTTGCTAAGAAACTGTTGACATACTTCTTCAGGTGTAATTAAAGAATAGGCCCAACCTTTCTTGCCAGCTCTAGCTGTTCTCCCTACTCTATGAACAAACATTTTACTACTATCTATAAAGTCATAGTTGATTACATTTTCCAATATTGGAATATCTATTCCACGAGCCGCTACATCTGTTACAACCAAAATGTTAGTTCGACCACTACGAAAATTATTTATTTGTATTTTCCTAGCTGTTTGATCTAAAGAACCATAAATATATGATGTTTGAAATCCACTAAGGTTCAAAAGATTTGTAATATATTCAACATGATGTTTTGTTGATACAAAAATAATTGTTTGATTAGATAGCAAAGTTTGCGACATTGTACTTGATGAATTGTCGTCTTTATTATTAGGATTTTTAGATGTAGTGGCTGATGAAGTGGGGGTAAGATGTATTTTAATGACTTCATATAGAAGATATAATAATGCGGCTTCTTTTTCCAATTGTTTCACAGAGAAAAATGCCATCTATTGATAGATGGAATATATTGAATTTAAGAATTATCTATATACTTTATAAAGTAATAAATAAATACAGCCCATACCATTAAATCGGCACTAATCTTGGTATCTGTATCTAGTCGCACTAAACTTGGATCTTGAAGTCCAGCATTTGCAAATTCCACGAGTGATTTTGGCAAAGTGGCAGAAAAAAGCATGGTTTGACGTGATTGAGGTAGTCTATGCAATATTTCATGAAGCTGTGCCGAAAATCCCAATTCAAATAATCTTTGAGATATAAAGTAATTAGCATTATAGTAAATGTAACGGTGATGATTAAAATAACATTCATGTATTTCATTATTACCGATCTGCTTCATCAAAAACAATATATTCAACGCTTTTAAGTTCAAGCTCCATTTCCACAATTAAATGAAGAAAACGCCCAGGTGTTGCTACTATACTACAACACAATATTGGTCAATTGATTTAGTAATCGAACCAAATGCTAATTTTTCAGACAAAAAGTATATGAAGAAACTACATACATGTCAGGATTGTTTGCAAACATCGCAAATTGATCCTCTAAATTGTCACCACCAACTAATAGACAAGTTCTCAAATCTGTATATTTAGTAAGCTCTTTGCATACTTTTTGCGTTTGAAGGGCTAGTTCACGTGAAGGAGACAATATAATCGCTCTAGCACCAACCTGATTTGTAATTAATGTAGCATTCGTATTATATTAACATGAGCAAACGAAGTCATTAAACTGCACTGTTAAAAAAAATCGAATTGTACATACTTTTGCCGAATGAACTTTTAATTTTTCTATAATCGGAATCAAAAATGCAGCGGTCTTGCCGGAACCTGTGCGAGCCATGCCCACTACATCTTTACCGTCCATAATTAATGGTATCGTCTTGCGCTGTATTGGGGTTGGAACTTTAAACCCTTTATGAAGTATTGCCTTATATATTGGATAGCTTAATCCTTGTTAATGTTTAAAAAAGAGTTAATTTCTTATTATAACTTATTCAATTTCACAAAATAAAAATTGACAATTAATACCCATGGACTGAAAGCCACCCGATTTTTTTTTTTTTCGGTTTTGTGCTTGTAATTGTTTTGAAATAATAAATTCATCCTGTTCTTCAGATGAATCTTCTTCAATTTCTTTTGTTAATGAAAAAATATCCAATTCGTTCTGCATAATTTCCTGAAAATGATTAACAGGAAAAAAAAAATGTTAAACAATTTATCAAAATTCTGATTGATCCTATCCAGTGATTCTGATTGGATTTTAGTTTGTGCTTCGTTTAGTTAAACAGTTAATCATGTGGTTATACGACACACTGATTGGCTGTTAGGGTATGGTTCAGAATTTAGGATTCGAACCCAAAGGCTCATGAAAATATATATGAGTGCTGCCTGTAATTCTTATAAGAATTAACTCATATAAAGTATAACCTCGATATAACGGCTATTAGTCCAAAATTTCAAAATTATTTCTATCTAAATTAACTAATACAGTAGTTTCATTATATCGAGACTAATTTAAACAAAGATGAGCTTCGTTATAACGTACACACGTTATATCGATATTATACTACTGTAATTGGCTCTCTTTTTACGTACGTACGTACGTACCAACCCTATACCAACTCTGGATATAGTAGACTAAAAGATTTAGATTACCCATAGATTTTGCGGACTGTAGAAGTTTCGTACTGTATTTTGTTGTTGAATGTACTGTACTGTACATAAATTTAGGTGTACTATACTATATATCCGTACAGTACACCTTTTTATAATATAAAATATAAACGTGTACTGTACTGTATTGATTAAAAAAATATAAGAGATAGTACAGTACAATACATTTGAACTTTGCTAAAATAATATCATTATTGTCGAAAGCAATTTAAAAAACCTACAACTCAAAGCTGACTTAATTATTATTACATGAATATTTCATGCCAAATATTTAATTAATATTTAGATACGTTTTATGTTCATTTACAATTTATATTAAAAAGCATAATGATAATATTATATTACCGTTACCAATATTTTATTGTAATCTATTTGCATTAGCAAAATGTATATCGATATAATTACTGTGCTATTGTATTCACAAATATATATTATTGCATATCAATACAACAGTTTATAAAATTTAATTATTTTGAAGTTTTTGAAGTTTTTCTCGTAACATTATTTCTTTTTCCAATTCATTGTTTTTGTTTTTCTGAATAGCAAGCTTTTCATGTTCAATTCTTAAAAGACTTTCTTGTTCTTCAATATTAATTGATTCACTTGAAACTCGAGCCTTTTTAAAAGACTTTTGATTAACCGAAGTTTCATTTGAACGTTTGCCTTTGCCTTTGCCTTTGCCTTTAAATTAATTAATTCATTATCAATTAATATATATTAATTACAAAATTGCAATAATTTATATATATACATACTTGTTTTTTTAACCGATTCAGTAGTTCTCTGTAAAGGTGATTTGTTTCGATAGGAGTCTGATACATTCATTTTTTCATATGTAAATGCTGAACTCCATTGAAGTTTGTCAAATTCTTTGGCTCTATTTTTTTAATTATATTAATATGTGTGAATATTACACAAATATGCATACAAAAGTTATATGTATTGCATAACGATACTCTTAAAAAGTTTTAATACTATACTTGGTAATTGCGGCCAATAAAGACAAATTACGCCCATTTCTATTAATATTCGCATGAGCTGATTCTCCAGCATTAGTTGTAAATGGTGTACTAGCCCAAATCTTATGTGCCATTTTAGTAAAGGCAGGAGACAAGCCAGCAAGTATCCACGGATGTTTTTTATTTTGTACCCAATCTAAGAATACAATGATTAATTAATTTTTAATATAATTATATATCATATTATTAATTATATAATGATAATATACCAATAACGCTGGGTTCTTCACAAGATTCAAGAAATTCAAGAGTACTCATGATTTCATAGGCTGTTTTACTTTTAATTAAGGAATACATTTTTTTTTTGATTTCCTTATTTATCCCCTTTTTGTTGCGAATATTTCTACGTATATATATATGATTTAAATAAATTAAAATAAATAAGTATACTGATATATATTTAATAATTTAAATTAATTATAAATGTTTACCTTTTAAAATGTATTGTGCATAATTTATAAATTCGCTCTAAGTGTTCAGTAGCATTAAAAATTGAAAATTTATCTGCTAAATATTGGCCTAAGCCTAAAAATTAATATATACATAACGTTCATGATAAAAGTTGTTAGATTTTTGAGTTAAATCATATAATCGTTCTCGTAGCTACTCTAGCCATATCAACATTTCAAAAAAAATAAAAATTGTCTGATATATTCAGATATCGGTAACTGGATATTTTTTATATTAAGCATATAGGTTTAAAATTTTAAAGAATATCGGTATAGCCAGATATCCAAATGCTGATATAACCAGAGTAATGTGCATAAAATTTACCTATTGCTTGACCATAATGCT